GCAGTGTTTGCTTCGGTTGACGGTGAGGGCAACCTCGACGTGTGGGACCTCAACAAAGACCTAGAGGTAGGTGAGGGGGTATCTATCGCCTCAATCGCCCCACACCACAGGCATGGTCACCTGGCGCGTGTGTGTGTGTGTGTAGTCTCCGCATATTCGTGTCAACTCTGGCGAGTCCGCCATAAACCACCTCTGCTGGTCACCGGACGGTCAGTCAGAACACACACCCACACACAGGCCATTAATTAGTTGACACGCCTTCGTTGTGTGGCGTCACGTCACATCAGGCCGTCGTTTAGTGAGCGGCACGTCGGAGGGCATCATCGCCGTTTGGAACGTAGACAAGGAGGTCAGTCAGTCCAGCGAGAGAGACAATAACACACATGGATGGCCATATGGTTGACAGCCATCCTTGTGTCAGTTGACGACCCCGAAGCCGGAGGACTGGGCGCGGCTGGAGGAGCAAATCATGGACCTCAAACCGTAAGTAACGGACACGCCATACACCAGACCAGACCAGAGACACGCGGACACAGACACTGTCCACTGTGCGGTTTGGTGTGCTCTTGTCCGATTTGTTTTAGTGCGGATGCCGGCGCAGGCACGGTTGGCACCGGGTGAGCCGAGTACAGAGAGGGGAAGGAAATCAACCTTCTCGCATGGGATGTCGTGTGCTGTGCTTTGCTGTGTTGTGTTGTGTTGTCAGAGTGGGTGTGGGTGCGCCTGTGGGCGGCAAGCTGGCGATAGATAGCAAGGCCAAGGACATTCTCGGCGAGAAGTGAAATGAATGATGGTCGATCCGTCGTCCACGATCCACCAACCACACACACACACACACAAAGGGATGGGTAGCTGGACGGCTAGCTGCAGTGGGTTGATCGATCAACGATGCACCCACCTGTTTGGGCGGCATGGTGGCGAGGAAGGAAGGCCATAGCTATGTGTCACCGATTGGACTGCGTGAGTGACATGGGGTGGGGTGCATGGCATGGTGGATGGACGGTTTAGTCGGCTGATTAGGCAACTGGCTGGCTGGCTGCGTGGTGTGCGTGGCCTGTGTGATGGGCTGGCTGGTCTGCAGGGGCGAGGGATGGAGGGAGGGCAGCGGAATGGAACCCATCGATGACATATATTTGTATGTGTGTCCATATATCATACGATACGTATGTGTCACATGTATGTATGTATCTGTGTGCGTTTGTGTGTCGGTCTGTCTCATTGTGTAGCTCCTGTCTGCCTGCCTGCCTGCCCGTCTTCTCCATGACTGGGCTTTCAAACGACAGACAGACACCATGTGTGTGTGTGGGTGTGGGTGTGGAGTGTGGG